ACTAGTGCAGGTAGTTTCCATTAATTATTTGTTATTCTCCGAATAGATCTTATCTTTAAACAGGATAATATTTTTTATTGAATTGTGGGAACATTTTTATGTTTCTAAGAAATACAGTATTGATATTGTAATCTCATTGGTTCCTTCAAAATGTATTGTATAGAGTAGTAGATAATAGGTTATTTCTAAAGCATTTTTTATGTTTGAAGTATAGAAGTAGATCCGAAACTTAAATACTGTACTTGCATTCTGTCAAAATTATTTCTAGTATGCCTTCTCTATGGACTGATTTTGGCAATCTCTGGTATGTACAGGTATTTAAACTTAGCAATTTCATAGGCAATTCATTATATATAGTCTGTCTCTTATACACATCTAGATGTGTATAAGAGACAGATAACGGGATCTCGTGGGAAATTGCATTTTTATGTCTGACAATGTCATTTCGACAAATGTGGGTGCCAAAAACATAAAATTTTAGCGCCTCAGCCCCAAACACTGGGGAGACTGAAGTACTGTATTATGAACTCTCCTATTTCTAATTCTTGGACCTGTCACTGAATTCATAAAATTCAGTATAATATTTAACCGGAATGATTAATTGTACTCATTGATAAGATTCCAAATATTTATATTGGCTCAGAGTAAATATGGTTGGTATTCAATATCTTTCAAAATGTTTATTCATCATGTACTAATATGGTAGTTTATTAATTATTTGTTATTCTCAGACATTTAAACAGGATGTTTGATATTTTCATTAATTATGAGTTTCTAAGAAATGCTTGTTCAATGATATTGTAATCTCATTGATTCCTGGAAATGCATATGTGGCATATGTAGGTAAGAATTGCCCCGGAAAAAGTGGCCCCGGAAAAAATGGCCCCATATGACATGTAGGTAAAAATGGCCCCAATGAAAAATTCGGTAATAGAAATGATATATATTTTTTTTAATCTTCAAGTATTTAAATACTGCATAAGCAAGAATTGAATCAAGAAATAAAAAATGGCCCTCAATTATAAAATTCAAGAAAAAAAATAAATAAATAAATGTTGTAAAATACCTTGTAGCAAAAATTTAATTAATAAATCAACATAAAGAATATGCATATTTGAGAACTAAAATAAATTAGTTTTTAGCTCCTATGAGTAGCTCTAGGAGTAAGTCTAAGTATTTTTTTTAATTATTAATATTATTAGATATTATTACTATATTTGCGGCCAATTATTAATATTAATATTATTAATGGCTCTGATGGGAGGCTCTAAAACATTGATTCGGCACCAGTTTTGAACGACGAACTTGCAGGGAATGTTATAAACCATTTTCGCGAAATTTGAAATAAAAATTTCCAATAACGTGGCGAATACCAACTATGGGGACTTTCAGAGGACTGGCATTTCGCGATACGTATTACTGTCATGGATAACATCAACAATAAATCTAAATTGCTAACGAGCACAAACATTTTAAAACGGAAAAACAGTACAGTAAAATGTACAATAGTCAGCGAGTTTATCAAATAAGGTATAACAAAAGTCTCGCCTTGGGTAGCATCTTTTTAAAGAAAATCATTAATTTCATTTAAAAAAACACAAATTACTGATTGATTAAATAATTCTATTTTAAATAAGAAATGATTATGCAAAGTAAAGTTAGAGGTTCGTAAAATACAGTAGATGTTTTATTAAATAAGCCTTTCCACCGTGTGACGTCGACGGCCTGAAACTGGCTGGCTGTTTATATCTGGCTCTAATTTGGCATCGAACGCAATTAGGGGATTATCGTATCATGTTTCAAGACGGGTATATCTAGATAAAGTTCGACGTGAACCAGGTTATTCAGTCAAAGCCAAACTGTTTATCTAGTTAATCTGCTAAGAAGGGCTAATTATTGCTTAGCTCCATTGTGGCTCCACACAGTAGGCCCTATTGATATGTAAATTAATTACTTACTTCCTGTCGATACGATACGATTTATTGGGTTCACTTTTAGATCAGTGGCACCCATCACTTAGATGGTGCACCCATTATCAATATAAAATATAAACAACGGAAAGCAAAAGACAGTTCAAAAACAACAAACAGATAAATAGCATAACAAAAACAAAACCAAGCAATTTACAGTAAGTGTCACTGCTTGGCATTTTTGTTTTTAGTTTTTTCAATTTACTTGATCTTGAGAATTGTTCCATGATGGACCCGAAACGTCGATC